GGAATAATCTTCAAGTTATATTAAGTGAAAAAAAAATACAAAGTACACAGATCAGTATAATACCCTTCCATTTGTATATAAAAGGGACTCTATTTATGCAGAGATGAATACATGTGCATGTGTTTGCACGTACATGTATACATATACCTACATATCTTCAGATACACCATTTGTATTTGGACTTGCTTTTGTGTATAAATGCATGAAAAATATCTTGAGGGATGCACAAGATACTAGTCACAAGGATTGCCTTTGCCTTTGGATAGAGGAACCTCATGAATTTTGAAAACTAATTTCAAAAACTAATTGAATAAAAATTTTTAACTATCAGGTCCAGATAGTTTAAAAAAGAATTTCAGACCACAGAAAAGGTTAGAAAGCTTCCCTACACCATTTTATTCATGAAAATCTCACTATCAAAACATGTATTACAGAGAATAAAATGTATAGATCAATCTTAACAACTGGAGATATAAAATATTTAAATAGAATATTTATAAATTTAATCTAGCACCGTATCAAAAAATTATTACAATATGACCAAATAGGAATATGCTAGAAATACAGAGATGGTCCAATATCAAGAATTGTATGGATGTAATTCTTTGCAAAAACAATTAAAAGGAAAAATCATTTTTATTGATATGATTGATGTGTCTATAAGGAAGAGGACAGAGGAAACATAATAGTAGTCTATGCCAAACAACCTATATGGAGCAGGCTTAGTGCTCTTATATCTATAGTCCATGTATTTTAAATAATGTTCAACTGAGCTATGGGTGGGGAACCTGCGGCCTCAAGGCCACGTATAGCCCTCCAGATCCACAAGTGTGACTCCTCGACCAAATCCAAACTTCACAGAACAAATCCCTTTTTTAAAACTATCCCTTGAATTCTTTCTGTATGAAGAGCACTAATGTGTCCAAAACCTGTGGAAGGTAGGTCAGGTGCATGAACTGGCAGTTCACAAAAGAAGAAATACAAATGACCAATCAATATGATAAAATTTTCAATCTTCGTACTTAAAGAAATACAAATAAATTCCTTTATTAGGATTTGTTCTGTAAAATTTGGATTCAATCAAAAGGTTACATTCAAGGATCCAGAAGGCCACATGTGGCCCCAAGGCTGCAGGTTCCCCACCCCATGACACAATGAAATACACAATACAGCTTCAAAAGGTGTCAAAAATAACTAAATTAGCACTTTAGCACTTTTGCAGAGTCAAACTTTTATTGAGACATAAAAAAATTGTATTTACAAGTATCCTCTAAGATATCTGAGAATACTTATGTTAATGTTAGATTTTAAGATAAATTTCTGTTTAAAAACTGCTGTAAATCTCCTCATATAAAAATTCAGAATAAAGATCAGTAACTGTAATTTAGGACAATTTTACCATCCCTCTTATACTTTAATGAAAAGGCTTTGTTGATTGCCTTAACCTAATTTAACCTACCCCCTGAACTCTGAGAGTGACAATGTAACCAACTACATCTGTGTGGTGCCTTTTAAGGAGCTGGGCCTTGGACTTAGTGAAGAGCAGATTTCCGAAGAGGAAGCACATAACTTTACCGATGGCTTCAGCCTGCCTGCGTTGAAGGTAATCCAAATGTGTAAGGGAAGGGCTCAAGAGAAGATACATGTGGGGGGCGTGGTGGCTCACGCCTGTAATCCTAGCACTCTGGGAGGCCGAGGCGGGCGGATTGTTTGAGCTCAGGAGTTCGAAACCAGCCTGAGCAAGAGCGAGACCCCATCTCTACTATAAATAGAAAGAAATTGGCCAAACAACTAAAAATAGAAAAAAATTAGCTGGGCATGGTGGCGCGTGCCTGTAGTCCCAGCTACTCAGGAGGCTGAGGCAGGAGGATCGCTTGAGCCCAGGAGTTTGAGGTTGCTGTGAGCTAGGCTGACGCCGTAGCACTCACTCTAGCCCCGGCAACAAAAGCGAGACTCTGTCTCAAAAAAAAAAAAAAAGAGAGAGAAGATACATGCACTTGGATTGTGCCTGTGCTTTCTGAATGTAAATGGTGCACCTGTTCCCCTTCATTTGCTTGCTGAATACCGTCATCATAAATGCCTTAGTGATGTTTGTGATGCTGTCTTTATAAGCTGAGGGCATCAGAAAGATGGGATGAGGAGATCCTTATATTTTGATGTCAAAATAATTAAAATTCTTAATGTAAGAAATGTCTTAAAATAGAGTTGGGAGATAAGTGAATTTACTTTTTAATAGGAAGCCATTATGAGTAATTTTATGATTAGCCATTTGTTTCAACAAACATGGAGAAAGCACTACCTCCAAAATTCTTGTTTAGGACAAGAATTTTTTTCATTTTTTAAAAACCACATAAAAGGATACATTTGGCTACATAAAAATTAAACTTCTAACTTCAAATACTGCATACTTTTAAATGCAAACAAGCTCGAGAAAAATTGCAATGATTTATAACAAAGGGCTTGAATTCTTTCTATATGAAGAGCACTTAAGGTGTCTAAAACCTGCAGAAGGTAGGTCAGGTGCATGAACTGGCAGTTCACAAAAGAAGAAATGCAAATGACCAATAAATATGATAAAATTTTCAATCTCAGTACTTAAAGAAATAAAAATAAAAGTAATAAGTTAAACATTTTGCCAAGATAGTAAAAGTTGGTAATATTCATTATCAATGAAGATTTAGGGAAACCTGACACACTGGTGGTAAAAGTATAAACTGGTTCGTTTTAACAGTGAATACCAATCTTCATAAAGGTGTATACCTGTTAATCCAGCAATTTTACCTTTACAGATTTATCCCTTGAAGTAATCAAAGATAAACCCAAAGTATATTCATGAGATTACTACAGCAGCAAACACTGGAAACAAATTAAAAGTTCAATAATATAGAATTGGTAATGATTTATGGTACCTATACTTGATGAACTGCTTTGGAGTTAAAAGTGGGAAAACATTGAAGGAAAATAATATCATGGGAAAACATAAGTTAAAGCAAGTTAACAAAAACCATTTTTGCAGCAAAATTCAAGTAGTATTTTCAAGATGTTAATCCAAATATCTTAAATTCCTTTTCAATAGTCAACAAGGTCTACTTTGATATTTGTTTCTAGTCTTTAAAACTTCCCATGACACCATGAAAATCAGTGCAAGTATAGTTGACAGCATTTATCAAGATCTATTTTGTTTTGAGACTACGTAAACTTCAACATCTTTAAAATTTTCTAATCCACATAAATGTTTTAATTTCCCTGTTGTTGTTTTTCTTTCTTTCCTGTTACTTAAAATTTGCCTTGACTTATTCCTACTCTCATTCTAACCCATCTCAATCAATGACATTCACACAATTTAAACTATAAACCTGGGCACCATCCTTCTTATCCTTCTTTTTTACCCTCTCATATCCAGTTTGTCAGCAGATTCTTATGTCAGTTCTACCTTCAAAATGATTTTCGAACCCATCCACTTTTTCTATATCCCCTTCCACCATCCTAGTTCTAGCCACCATTATCTCTTACCTAAGCTGCTGCAATAGTTTTCTTAGTTTTCCCAGTTCCCTGAAGTTATTTGTTTAAGGATGAAATTTGATCAAATCACAACTTAGTAGAGAAAAAAATGCAATTTGACCTATAGCCTTTTAAATGATTTATCCTTTGAATTAGTAATTCCACTTCTACAAATCTTTCTGAAGGAAATTATTCTAAATATAGTCAAGCTTTATGTGCCAAGTTGCTTATTAGTTTTGTGCTTATGATAGCGAAATATGGAACACTGCCTAAATGTTCAGCAATAAAGGAATGGCTACTCATACCGTATGACTTGAACCTCCTCCCTAGAACTCTCTTCCCTGATACTTTTATGGCTAACTTCCTTCAGGTGATACTTTTTTAGAAGCACTCCTGATCACCTCCTTCTCCTTTCCCCCTCTCTCCCACCCCCCTCCCCCCGCCTCATATATATATACACACACATGTACATACACATTTGCTATTCCCCTTCTTGGCCGTATTTTTCTCCGTAGCCCATCAACCAAGAAATACTATCTTTTTTCCCCTGAACAGTCACTACCACAGAAGGGAAACACTGTCTTTTACTTGTAGATTATTATCTATCCCTTCCTGTCCCCCATCCGTGCCACTTGAATATAACCTCCATTAGAGTCGTGATTTTTTTCATTATTGTTCACTGCCTGACACATCATAGATGCTCAAGAAATCATTTCTGAGTGAATGAATAAAGGAATAAAGAAAGTCATTGTAATCACAAAATTTAATAGTTAAGAAGACTTGCAAGTAAACTTGTTTATATTTAAGAATTCATAGATATTATGTCTTTAGCAATTTGGAAATTTGACCTTGTTCACTTTTTAAAAATTAGCTAATGGTAAAATGGATTTACATGAAATTATCTTAAATCTTTATTCACAGAATTTAAAAATTCATTTAATAAAACCATCTAGGCTAGGCATGGTGGCTCACGCCTATAATCCTAGCACTCTGGGAGGCCAAAGCGGGAGGATCACTTGAGCTCAGGAGTTGAAGACCAGCCCGAACAAGAGCGAAACCCATCTCTACAAAAAATAGAAAAAGTAGCCAGGCATCTTGGTGCACACCTATAGTCCTAGCTACTCTGAAGGCTGAGGCAGGGGGATTGAGCCCAGAAGTGTGAAGTTGCATTGAGCTATGATGATGCCACTGCACTCTAGCCTGAGTGACATAGCAAGACTCTGTCTAAAACAAACAAAAAAACCTACTAAATATCCATTTTCATGGTTGTGAATAATTGAAATCTAAATTATCGAAACTGGTTCTATCCTCTTTTTATTGTCTGCTACCTCTCTATTGTCTGCTACAGCTACATTGTTTCCACATGTGTTTATTTTGGGGATATTATCCTCATCTTGAATAATACTGTATCTGGAGAAATCCTTTGCTGCCTGGATTTAAAGTGTCTCTCCAGAATGGGTTTTGCAGGCCGGGCGCGGTGGCTCACGCCT